CTCTTCACTGCTTTCAGTAACCTACCTCCTACACCATACACTTGCAACATCTGCCACATTGCCCCCCTATCCACCCTGTCATACGCCTTTTCCAAATCCATAAATGCCACAAAGACCTCTTTAGCCTTATCTAAATACTGTTCACTTATATGTTTCACTGTAAACACCTGGTCCACACACCCCCTACCTTTCCTAAAGCCTCCTTGTTCATCTGCTATCCTATTCTCCGTCTTACTCTTAATTCTTTCAATTATAACTCTACCATACACTTTACCAGGTACACTCAACAGACTTACCCCCCTATAATTTTTGCACTCTCTTTTATCCCCTTTGCCTTTATACAAAGGAACTATGCATGCTCTCTGCCAATCCCTAGGTACCTTACCCTCTTCCATACATTTATTAAATAATTGCACCAACCACTCCAAAACTATATCCCCACCTGCTTTTAACATTTCTATCTTTATCCCATCAATCCCGGCTGCCTTACCCCCTTTCATTTTACCTACTGCCTCACGAACTTCCCCCACACTCACAACTGGCTCTTCCTCACTCCTACAAGATGTTATTCCTCCTTGCCCTATACACGAAATCACAGCTTCCCTATCTTCATCAACATTTAACAATTCCTCAAAATATTCCTTCCATCTTCCCAATACCTCTAACTCTCCATTTAATAACTCTCCTCTCCTATTTTTAACTGACAAATCCATTTGTTTCTCTAGGCTTTCTTAACTTGTTAATCTCACTCCAAAACTTTTTCTTATTTTTCAACAAAATTTGTTGATAACATCTCACCCACTCTCTCATTGCTCTCTTTTTTACATTGCTTCACCACTCTCTTAACTTCTCTCTTTTTCTCCATATACTCTTCCCTCCTTGCATCACTTCTACTTTGTAAAAACTTCTCATATGCTAACTTTTTCTCCCTTACTACTCTCTTTACATCATCATTCCACCAATCGCTCCTCTTCCCTCCTGCACCCACTTTCCTGTAACCACAAACTTCTGCTGAACACTCTAACACTACATTTTTAAACCTACCCCATACCTCTTCGACCCCATTGCCTATGCTCTCATTAGCCCATCTATCCTCCAATAGCTGTTTATATCTTACCCTAACTGCCTCCTCTTTTAGTTTATAAACCTTCACCTCTCTCTTCCCTGATGCTTCTATTCTCCTTGTATCCCATCTACCTTTTACTCTCAGTATAGCTACAACTAGAAAGTGATCTGATATATCTGTGGCCCCTCTATAAACATGTACATCCTGAAGTCTACTCAACAGTCTTTATCTACCAATACATAATCCAACAAACTACTGTCATTTCGCCCTACATCATATCGTGTATACTTATTTATCCTCTTTTTCTTAAAATATGTATTACCTATAACTAAACCCCTTTCTATACAAAGTTCAATCAAAGGGCTCCCATTATCATTTACACCTGGCACCCCAAACTTACCTACCACACCCTCTCTAAAAGTTTCTCCTACTTTAGCATTCAAGTCCCCTACCACAATTACTCTCTCACTTGGTTCAAAGGCTCCTATACATTCACTTAACATCTCCCAAAATCTCTCTCTCTCCTCTGCATTCCTCTCTTCTCCAGGTGCATACACGCTTATTATGACCCACTTCTCGCATCCAACCTTTACTTTAATCCACATAATTCTTGAATTTACACATTCATATTCTCTTTTCTCCTTCCATAACTGATCATTTAACATTACTGCTACCCCTTCCTTTGCTCTAACTCTCTCAGATACTCCAGATTTAATCCCATTTATTTCCCCCCACTGAAACTCTCCTACCCCCTTCAGCTTTGTTTCGCTTAGGGCCAGGACATCCAACTTCTTTTCATTCATAACATCAGCAATCATCTGTTTCTTGTCATCCGCACTACATCCACGCACATTTAAGCAACCCAGTTTTATAAAGTTTTTCTTCTTCTATTGTCTTATTTCCTTCAAATCCCATCTATATTATGTAAATTATCTAATAAATTTCATAAAAATTCCAAACTTTATACCATTGACTAGAAAGATAGAAATTGTAAATAAATAGTAAATGAACTATTAGATTTTTAAGTTTGATATTTTATGCACACATTACATACAAAGAATTTTATCCATGGAGGCATAGAAGGGAATGTATAAGAGTATAGTGGCACAAACATTGTTATATGGGTGTCAAGCATGGGATGTGAATGCTGCAGCAAGGAAGAGGCTGGAGATGTCATGTCTAAGGGCAATATATGGCATAAATATTATGCAGAGAATTTATAGTGTGAAAATTAGTGGGTATGGAGTTACTAAAAGTAATATTCAGAAGGCTGAGGAGAGGTTGAGGTGGTTTAGTAGTTTAGAGAGGATGGCGTAAAATAGGATGACTTGGAGGGTGTATAAATCTGTAGTGGAGGGGAGGAGGGGTAGGGGTCATCCTAGGAAAGGATGGAGGGAGGGGGTAAAAGAGGTTTTATGTGCAAGGGGCCTGGACATGCAGCAGGCATGTGTGAGCATATTAGATAGGAGCGAATGGAGACGAGTGGTTTGTGGGACCTGATGAGCTGTTGAGTGTAAGAAGGGTATTATTTTGTGAGGAGATTCAGGGAAACCACTTCCAGGACTCAAAGCCCTGGAAGTGGGAAGTACAATGTCTGCACTTGGGAGGTTTGGGATATCGGCTGTTTGGAGTGACATCTAAATTCTCATATTTGGGCACCTCTGCAAAGACAGTGATTATGTATGAATGACAATGAAAGTGTTGAATGATAGTGAAAGTTTCTTTTTTGGGATCACCTAGCCTCAGTGGGAGATGGCTGACATGTTTAAAAAAAAAAAAAAAAATGATGAATATCAGACTGGAGGGAGGAAGTATGGAGAAAGTGAATATATTCAGATATTTGGGAGCGGACTTGTCAGCAAATGGGTCTATGAATATTGAGGTGAATTATAGAATTGATGAGGGAGGGGGGGAAGGTGAGTGGTGCACTGAGGAGTCAGTGGAAACAAAATATGTTATCTATGCATGTAAGCAAAAAGGGGAATGTATGAGAGTAGTTATACCAATGCTCTTATATGGGTGTGAACCATGGGTGGTGAATGTTGCAACAAGAAGGCTGGAGGCAGTGGAGATGTTGTGCCTGAGGGCAATGTGCAGTGTGAATATAGTGTAGGGAATCCATAGTTTGGAAATTAGGAGGAGGTGCAGGGTTACTAAAAGTATTATCCAGAAGGCTGAGGTAGTTCAGACATTTAGAGAGGATGGAATGAAATACAGTGGGACCTCGAGTTTTGGCCATAAATTGTTCCAGAAACCTGTTTGAGTGCCGTTACCAAACGAATTTGTTCCCATAAGGAATAATGTAAATCAGATTAGTCCATTTCAGACCCCAAAATATACACTTACAAAAGCACTTACAAAAATACACTTACATAATTGTTCGAGTTGGGAGCTGTTCGAAACTCAAGGTACCACTGTACAATGACTTCGAGAGCGTATAAATCTATAATGGAAGGCAGGGTAGAGGTCGGCATAGGAAAGGTTGGAGGGAGGGGGTAAAGGAGGTTCTGTGTGCGAGAGGCCTGGACTTCCAGCAAGTGTGCATGAACATGTTAGATAGGAGCAAGTGGAGACAAATGTTTTTTATGACTGACATGCTGTTGGAGTCTGAGCAAAGTAACATTTATGAAGGGATTCAGGGAAACCAGCAAGCTGGACTTGAGCCCTGGAGGTGGGAAGTACAGTGCCTGAGCTCTGAAGGGTGTTGATGCTGCAGTTTTTTTAACAGTAGTGTATGCACACCTATGGCAAGACATTGATGGAGTAAATGATGAAAGTGTTTCTTCTTTTTCGAGTCACTCTCCTTGATGGTAAACAGCCAATGTGTTAATAATATAAAAATATAACTCAATATATCTCTCCATATTATGAGAAGTATTATGCCCTGAAACAACTGTAATATCATAGGTATTCCTTGTATTAGAAGATCAAAGCAGCAAGAGAAAAAACATTATTTGTTCAAATTCATTCTGCATATTGTATGTGGAGCAATATCAGGCGATGCATTTCTCTATGTTTGGAGTACAATATAATACACCTTGAAAAACATCTAAAATCATGTGAAAGTAGTGTACATAGTGTTAAACAAATACAGTATAAAATTGAAAAACACTCCTAATTTGGCATCAATAAATTATAAAACTTAAGTTCTGCTGGCACATTTACATTGCTGTCACTGACGAGTGATAATTTTTTCAACTCAGCCCTATTTAATCTTACGATTTTTATCGTATTCCACTCATTTTAATCCTATCAATTCACAGAAATGCATTCTTTCCATCTGTAATACAATAAATTTCTATTTTTCAAAATCTTGCCCCCATATACACATACATAGGAATTTTAATTTTAGAATATCCCACAGTTAAGAGGTTAAAACACAGGAGGACTGAGACAACAGATGGACTGCAACTTTGAGTATACGTTCATGTTTAGGTGCTCACTACACCACCTAATGTCAAACCTCGACTCCACAACTAAGATACGGAACAGCCATTCCTGACCACAGACATGGAGTGAATTGTAAACTTTTTTAATCATGCCTTTTATGAAAGAAAAGACAGTAAGTAGGGAGACAGGCAGGCTAGTAACATAGGTGAGTAGGTAAGATAGAAATAAGACACACAACCACTCAAACATAAAAGTAGACACAGGAATGCATAGACAATGCTTCTTTTACAAGGCATTAAATCAATACTATATACACAAAAAAAAAGCTTATATCATTGCAATTCTTGCATAAATTTCATTTCAAATGATCAAGACAGCATATGCACTGGAGATAATACATGCATTAAATTTTCAATACTATATTTTAAAAAATTAGCAATGAAATGCTATGAATAATGCAAATGTCAGAGCTATTTTTAAAATTAGCAGTGAAACACTATGAATAATGCAAATGCCAGAGCTACAGTGTAGTTGTGATACTAACATAATATACCTGAGTCGTGGTCGTGATCATCTAGGTCAGCTTGCTGCACAGTCAGGTCCCCTTTACGTTCTTCCTCCTCTTCCTCTTCCTTAATTCCTTCAGCAATTATCGTCACACTTTCCCCCCCTTTTCTTCCATTTTCTTCCATGTCCCTCTCCCCATTTTCTCCACACTCATGGAGCTGCTGTGGTTCATCATGTTCCCCAGTTACTATTATGGTGAAACCACCAAGACGTGACTCAAGTGCTTGTTCCAGTTGAGCAGCATCAGGAGAGAGCGAGCCACTACCACTGCCCCCTCGACTGCTGCTCTGAGGGCTCCCAGGTCCAGTCACCTCAATCACTATTTGAGGAGGTGCCACCAAGTTGTACCCTCTGCTGCTACTTCCATTACCATTGTCCCCATTCTCCTTCTCAGGGACAACAGCCAAGCCTGGGACAGGAAGGCCCAGCAACCCTCCACCCTTTGGTGAGATGTCAAGTTTACATGGGCCTTCAGAATGCTGTGGGACACCACCTGTTATCACAACACACCCAACCCATCTCACACACAGCTTTCATTCTATATAACAAATCACTACACACTCAATTATGTCAGCCAACATATAATATTTGGCTCATGTTTAAAAAAAAAATGAAGAGCTAATTTCATGATCTATTTCAGTTGCTACATTTAGATTTTATATTTAAAATCACATTCCATACCTGAAAACACCCCTAGCCAAATGATGCTATATATTGTCTATAAACCCATGCATGCATATTTTATCTACATATGAGAAAATTTAGTTGCTAGAAATATGAAAAACAAAGATCTATACATAAAACTAAGGTTCACTATTATTTTAACTACAGTCTGCTGCCAATAATAAATAATTCGAGACACTGATGGACAGAATTGACAAATTATGAGCTTTTTATTGGGGAGGTATGAGAGCTTAATGAAACCTGCAACACTTTGCCATACTTTTTTCTGAGAAAATACTTATTATTATAGTAATAATACAAGAGTCCTTAAATGTTCTAATGACTGTTAATAAAATATAGTTTTAGAATCAAAATCATAAATGATGTTACCTTTGGCTCATATATTTCTTGTCTATGGATTGAATGTGGGTGAGGTGGATGTCTCTGACCCCCATCTCTTCTCCCTGGAAAAAAAAAAAAAGAAAAAAAATAAGAGGAAATAAGTAATGTTAAGTAAATAAATAACATCACCATTAAATGGAAGGAACAGCCAAATTAACTACAGTAGAGCCCCACTTATACGGCAGGTTAAGTTCGAGGCTACTGCCAGAAAGCAGAATGCCATTTTTTCCACTTATAAATTCATATAAATGCTAGATAATAAGTTTACACTAACAATATAAAGTTAACAATAGAACTAGGCATTAAAAAACAATAAAAAGTATAATACACACACAGTACAACCATTACTTACCTTAAAATATTTGTAGTCTTAATGTAGGGTGAAATGCGAGTTTTATTAGTAGGAAGTCAGGTCTGGGAGATATGGTAGCTAGCCAGGTCAGCCCACCCCACCCCACCCACATGTGATATACTACGACATATAATTAAACTAAAAGAGGAGGCAGTTAGGGAAAGATATAAACAGCTATTGGAGGTTAGATGGGCTAATGAGAGCATAGGCAATGGGGTCGAAGAGGTATGGGGTAGGTTTAAAAATGTAGTGTTAGAGTGTTCAGCAGAAGTTTGTGGTTACAGGAAAGTGGGTGCGGGAGGGAAGAGGAGCGATTGATGGAATGATGATGTAAAGAGAGTAGTAAGGGAGAAAAAGTTAGCATATGAGAAGTTTTTACAAAGTAGAAGTGATGCAAGGAGGGAAGAGTGTATGGAGAAAAAGAGAGAGGTTAAGAGAGTGGTGAAGCAATGTAAAAAGAGAGCAAATGAGAGAGTGGGTGAGATGTTATCAACAAATTTTGTTGAAAATAAGAAAAAGTTTTGGAGTGAGATTAACAAGTTAAGGAAGCCTAGAGAACAAATGGATTTGTCAGTTAAAAATAGGAGAGGAGAGTTATTAAATGGAGAGTTATAGGTATTGGGAAGATGGAGGGAATATTTTGAGGAATTGTTAAATGTTGATGAAGATAGGGAAGCTGTGATTTCGTGTATAGGGCGAGGAGGAATAACATCTTGTAGGAGTGAGGAAGAGCCAGTTGTGAGTGTGGGGGAAGTTTGTGAGGCAGTAGGTAAAATGAAAGGGGGTAAGGCAGCCGGGATTGATGGGATAAAGATAGAAATGTTAAAAGCAGGTGGGGATATAGTTTTGGAGTGGTTGGTGCAATTATTTAATAAATGTATGGAAGAGGGTAAGGTACCTAGGGATTGGCAGAGAGCATGCATAGTTCCTTTGTATAAAGGCAAAGGGGACAAAAGAGAGTGCAAAAATTATAGGGGGATAAGTCTGTTGAGTATACCTGGTAAAGTGTATGGTAGAGTTATTATTGAAAGAATTAAAAGTAAGACTGAGAATAGGATAGCAGATGAACAAGGCGGCTTTAGGAAAGGTAGGGGGGTGTGTGGACCAGGTGTTTACAGTGAAACATATAAGTGAACAGTATTTAGATAAGGCTAAAGAGGTCTTTGTGGCATTTATGGATTTGGAAAAGGCGTATGACAGGGTGGATAGGGGGGCAATGTGGCAGATGTTGCAGGTGTATGGTGTAGGAGGTAGGTTACTGAAAGCAGTGAAGAGTTTTTACGAGGATAGTGAGGCTCAAGTTAGAGTACATAGGAAAGAGGGAAATTATTTCCCAGTAAAAGTAGGCCTTAGACAGGGATGTGTGATGTCACCGTGGTTGTTTAATATATTTATAGATGGGGTTGTAAGAGAAGTAAATGCGAGCGTCTTGACAAGAGGCGTGGAGTTAAAAGATAAGGAATCACACATAAAGTGGGAGTTGTCACAGTTGCTCTTTGCTGATGACACTGTGCTCTTGGGAGATTCTGAAGAGAAGTTGCAGAGATTGGTGGATGAATTTGGTAGGGTGTGCAAAAGAAGAAAATTAAAAGTGAATACAGGAAAGAGTAAGGTTACGAGGATAACAAAGATTAGGTGATGAAAGATTGGATATCAGATTGGAGGGAGAGAGTATGGAGGAGGTGAATGTATTCAGATATTTGTGAGTGAACATGTCAGCGGATGGGTCTATGAAGGATGAGGTGAATCATAGAATTGATGAGAGGAAAAGGGTGAGTGGTGCACTTAGGAGTATGTGGAGACAAAGAACTTTGTCCTTGGAGGCAAAGAGGGGAATGTATGAGAGTATAGTTTTACCAACACTCTTATATGGGTGTGAAGCATGGGTGATGAATGTTGCAGCAAGGAGAAGGCTGGAGGCAGTGGAGATGTCATGTCTGAGGGCAATGTGTGGTGTGAATATAATGCAGAGAATTCGTAGTTTGGAAGTTAGGAGGAGGTGCGGGATTACCAAAACTATTGTCCAGAAGGCTGAGGAAGGGTTGTTGAGGTGGTTCGGACATGTAGAGAGAATGGAGCGATACAGAATGACTTCAAGAGTGTATCAGTCTGTAGTAGAAGGAAGGCGGGGTAGGGGTCGGCCTAGGAAAGGTTGGAGGGAGGGGGTAAAGGAGGTTTTGTGTGAGAGGGGCTTGGACTTCCAGCAGGCGTGCGTGAGCGTGTTTGATAGGAGTGAATGGAGACGAATGGTTTTTAATACTTGACGTGCTGTTGGAGTGTGAGCAAAGTAACATTTATGAAGTGGTTCAGGGAAACCGGCAGGCCGGACTTGAGTCCTGGAGATGGGAAGTACAGTGCCTGCACTCTGAAGGAGGGGTGTTAATGTTGCAGTTTAAAAACTGTAGTGTAAAGCACCCTTCTGGCAAGACAGTGATGGAGTGAATGATGGTGAAAGTTTTTCTTTTTCGGGCCACCCTGCCTTGGTGGGAATCGGCCAGTGTGATAATAAAAAAAAATAATAAAAATAATTAAAGCGCCCATGAGTGATAAAATACACATACAGTACATTCATTAATTACCTTAAAATATCTGTAGTTTTAATGTAGGGTGAGAGGTGAGTTTTATTTGTAAGAAGTCAGGTTTGCGAAGTATGGCAGTCAGCCAGGGCAGCCCTCCCTGCCCCACCCCACCCACACGAAATGTAAACTAGGCGAACACATCTGGTGTTTGTTCATAAGTTTGTATTATACCATAAAACAAACACTGTACATTGTGTACAAGTTGTCTCCATGTTGATACAGTAGAATAAATAAAGACCAACACTTCCACTCTCAAGTAATTTTTAGAAGGAATGAAGCTTTGACAAATTATTATTATTATTACAAATTATCATTACAATTATTAAATTATTATTACAAGTTATTATTATTGTTACAAGTTATTATTGTTATAATCATAATAAAAATGAAGCGCTAAACCCACAAGGGTCATGAATAGCTATAGACAGTGTGAAGGCATACGAAAGGAATAAATTTCTAGTTAAGTTACTGGTGTACGACTAGAGAAAACGTAATTCTTTGACTCTCCTACCAAACACTTGGTAAACAAATCTCATGTTATGTCAATTTTTATATTGTGAGTGTATGTATCATGTTTATATGTTACCTAGCATTTTTATTATATAATTTTGAAAAAAATATCATGGGTGGATTAATGGAAATGTCTATATTAACGTAATATACGACACTTAATGTGCCCCCAGAGATTACATGGCGTCGAGTAGAGAGTCTTAGTGGTTTTAATGTGTGCCTGCATGCCAGCACAGTGTGTAAGTACAGTGGACCCCCGCATACCGATGGCACCACATAACGATTAATCCGCATACCACTTGCTTTAATCGCAAAAATTTTGCCTTGCATACCGCTTAAAAACCCGCTCACCGATTTTCGTCCGAGACGCGTCCAATGTGCGCCCTCAGCCAGCCTCACATGTGCCGCCCGTGCCATTGTTTACCAGCCAGCCTCCGCGGTAACATCCAAGCATACAATCGGAATATTCCGTATTATTACAGTGTTTTCGGTGCTGTTTCTGGAAAATAAGTGACCATGGGCCCCAATAAAGCTTCTAGTGCCAACCCTACACCAATAAGGGTGAGAATTCCAATAGAAATGAAGAAAGAGATCATTGATAAGTATGAAAGTGGAGTGCGTATCGCCGACCTAGTCAAGCTGTACAAGAAACCCCAATCAACCATCGCTACTATTGTGGGCACCAGAAAGGCAATCAAGGAAGCTGTTCTTGCCAAAGGTTTAACTGTGTTTTCGAAACAAAGATCGCAAGTGATGGAAGATGTTGAGAGACTCTTATTGGTGTGGATAAATGAAAAACAGCTAGCAGGAGATAGTGTCTCTCAAGCGATCATAAGCGAAAAGGCTAGGAAGTTGCATGAGGATTTAATTAAAAAAATGCCTGCAACTAGTGCTGATGTGAGTGAATTTAAGGCCAGCAAAGGTTGGTTTGAGAGATTTAAGAAGCGTAGTGGCATACATAGTGTGATAAGGCATGGTGAGGCTGCCAGTTCGGACCACAAAGCGGCTGAAAAATATGTGCAGGAATTCAAGAAGTACATAGAGACTGAAGGACTGAAACCTGAACAAGTGTTTAATTGTGATGAAACAGGCCTGTTTTGGAAGAAAATGCCAAGCAGGACCTACATTACTCAGGAGGAAAAGGCACTCCCAGGACATAAGCCTATGAAAGACAGGCTTACTTTGTGATGTGTTCCAATGCTACTGGTGATTGCAAAGTTAAGCCTTTATTAGTGTATCACTCTGAAACCCAGACCGTTCAGGCAAAAGAATGTCCTCAAGGAGAATTTGTGTGCTGTGGAGGGCAAACAGTAAGGCATGGGTCACTAGGGACTTTTTCTATGACTGGTTACACCATGCATTTGCCCCCAATGTGAAAGATTACCTAACTGAAAAGAAATTAGAACTTAAGTGCCTCCTGGTGTTAGACAATGCCCCTGGTCATCCTACAGACGTGGCAGAGCGACTTTATGGGGACATGAAATTCATTAAGGTGAAGTTTTTGCCTCCTAATACCACTCCTCTCCTGCAGCCCATGGACCAGCAGGTTATTGCAAACTTCAAGAAACTGTACACAAAAGCTCTGTTTGAAAGGTGCTTTGTAGTGACCTCAGAAACTCAA